TTATGGGGCAGCTTTGACAAGCAAGGTAACTTCGACATGGTTCTTAACTGCTTTATTGGGAATGTCCTTTTTAAAGTGGGTTGATACTAGGGTCTAAATGTCCATTATGTCTATGTCCACTTCCTGTGCACTATGTTGAAACTAATCTATATAGCAGCTTTATGAAGATGTGAGACCTTAGGCTGGTTAAGTTATGAGGACTGTCTTCAAGAATGAGACTAGTGGTCTTAAAAGGACTTAACAGATTTCTCAACTTGCAGAACTAAATTTTCTTTTCTTTTTTAAAAGACAGTTTTATTCTGTAGCCCAGGCTGGCCTCAAGCTCATTATGATCCTCCTCCTTCAATCAGCCTCTCAAATTGGAATTACAGGTATGAGTCACTATTGCCTGGCTACTTTTTCAATTGTAAATTACAATAGAAGGTATTTTGTTGCCAGGGCAGTAGTGGCACACATCTTTAATCCCAGTATTAGAAAGGCAGAGGAAGGCAAACCTCTTGTAAATTTCAAGGCCAGCCTGGTCTACAGAGCAAGTTCCAGGAGAGCCAGACTAAACAGAGAAAGCCTATCTAAAATAAATTAAAAAAAAGTATTTGGCAGTCTGATAATAGTTGTCACTTAACAACGGGGACATAGTCCAAGAAATGAGTCATCAGGTGATTGCACTGCCAGGTGATTTTTGTCACTGTAAAAACACCAGAGAATATTTTCTACAATCCTAGATGGAAAAGGAAGATTTTACTCTGCCCTCCACAATCAGCTTTGCAGGTTCATCACTCACTTTCATTTTCTAACAATCCTCTTAGACCACCCAGAGCTCTCAGTAACTCCCGACATCCTGGTCAGGTACAGTCTTCTCTCTCAATGTTTCGGGCAAACGCTGCTTTGGCAGAGGTCATCATGGTGTTGAGGACACATTTGTGTCAAATCAGGCCAATACAAGGCTCTCCAGATCTGATGCTGACCTTTCTTGAATTATTTTAACTTACTGCCTTCAATAAAGCAGATGCTCCAACAGCTTGTCACAGTCGCTCTTGTTCTTTGAGGGTATAACTTTGATGGAATGTCCAACTTAATAAGCAATAGCCATCAGTGACTTTCCTCCCCCATCTCTAGTCCTTGATCACTTTTCATTTCATTTCTGGGTCAGTCACTTGATGACAATTGTCAACATCTTGACAGTAATATTTAGTCAAGTACAGAGAAAATGATACATTCACCAGATGTGGTGTACACAAGATGAGGCTACTGTTGAAACACCATGTGATTGTACTGTTTTATGGAAAATGACTCAGAATATTCTGATCTGCCATCATAAAATGGTAAGTTTGTTTATACATTCACTTAGCCTTGAAATGGCTCTCTCCTAAATTTTTAGAGGAAAGCTGATGGAGAATAAAAGCATAATCAAAGCCTGCAGACAATTCAGAATAGACCTACTACACTCTGGCTGCAAGCCAGCAAGTACCATTGCCATCTTCTATCTTAAGAACAAAGGCTTAATACTAGTTTTTGGGAAATAGGCACTTAGACAAAATCATTTTCAAAATATGAGTTTTTGACACTTGAAGGATTTCATTCCAAACTCTCAATTATGTAATTACAAAAAAAAAAAAAAATCATGTTTCAGGAAAATATCTTTAACCCTAACATGAATTCAGATCACTTACCACAGTTAGACAAATGTATATAAAGGAACAAAACAAAAAGTGTATTTACAAATTTAGACACTGTGAAGAGTCTAACACTCTACATTCTTTTACAAACTACATTTAAAATGATGAATTTGGAAATATGTGAGAAAGGTCATAGCGTGAGAACGTTAACTTTTAAAATTCAAAGTTATGTTGATGACATTAAAGTTAATGATAAAAAATTGCAACTCAAGGTTTGTGTGACAAAGACAAAATTCAAGGACAGATTGTCTAAGAAAGGGCAAACTATTCCCATTCAAGTTAGTCAATTAGTTCTCTGAGTATAAAATACTAACAACCATGAAGTGGATTAAGCTAATTAAAAATTTTGTTAGTTTCTAAACAACTAAAAATGGGTCTTTTCACAATTATCACAGTTTCTTTTTACCCTTGTTTGTGTATTTCTGCTACATGGAAAATCCTCATCCAAAACAATCTTTCCTTCACTTTTGTGGGTTTTTTTTTTTTTTTGTTTAAGTAAAAAATATTTTTAAACAAAGAAACATCTGTTCTTTAGCTACAGAACTGCTTTTACACTGACTCCTTGAAGAGAAAACAAAATATTCCCATTTCTTCCTCTACCTACCACAAAACAAACCAAAGCAATCCAACTCCTGATGTAGTGTCATGTAGAAGCTAGGTCTGGAACGATATCTCATGCTAGTTCTGCTATATGCTGAGCACAATTATTTACATTATTGACAAATCTATTTAACAGAATAGTCATCCCAGAGCTTCACTCGACAGCAGCTAAAATAGATGCGAGCAGCGGCGTCTGCGGATGGGAACATCAAAGACCCTCCTCTGTCTCTCTTCTGCTTGACCCTCATCTGATTCATTCTCATCCTCATCTGATTCATCTGATTCATCCATGTCTGCTGAGTCATCATTTTCTTCTTCCTCCTCAGCTTCCTCTTCCATCTCTTCATATTCATCAGGACCCATTTCCTTAAAAGAGAAAAATCTTTTGATAAGAATGTCTATCATTTCTTATAATAATTCTATAGCCTAGAATATAAATTATTAGACATGCTAGGCATTACAAACCTGAAAAGTAAAATCTCATAATGCAAAATTCTAGACTATATTCTGTACCACATGTTAAATAATGCTCAATATGGTTTTAACGGTAAATACATCTCACTAAGATAGTACTTGTTCTTTACATTGTATTTGGTAATTCATACATGGAGGTAAATATACTATTCCTAATAAGTCACAAAGTTTTAATGAACTTATAGTAATGTGTTTATTTTTTCTCTTACAGAAAAAACGTTGTAAAAATATTAATCAGATATGACCTCTACTGCTAATTTTTATGTACCATTCTTAAAAGACTTTTTTATTAAGTTCCAAAAACACATCATCTTCAAGATCCGTAGCCTCTACTTTTGAAAAAGAGGTATTTTTATTTTTTTCAGCTGCTTATAACAACAACAGTCACTCATTATCTCTTAGTTTCTGTGGTTGGGTATCTGGGAAGCACTCAATGGAACACTTCTGGCTTCAAGTCTCCCATGATGCTACAGTTGAATGGTGACTAGAACCAAGCTTCAACCTCAAGGACTTCTTCATTCACATGTCTGGTACCTGGACTGGGAGGATCCAAGTATCTGGAGCCTGAAGAAGGTACCTCCTTCCACCTTGAAGTTGGATCTCTACATGCCTTCTCCAGCATGGCTGCTTCATAGGAACTGGACTTTCACACTAGGGCTCATGATACCATGTTCCGGGGGATAAAAGAACTAAGCTAAAGGTATTGATGGCCCTTTTCTAACTCAGCCTCTGCCAGTGTCACTTTGCTGATTCCCTAGAGAAGTGCAGTCCTAAGATCAGTCAGTGCTGCAGGAAAAGGGAGACTTGAAGTCTCTGTGACAGGAGTGATGAACATGCAGTGTCAGAATGTCTCTTGGAATGCCATTCTGCTTAAGCAGGTATCCCTAATCAGGTAATGGTTTAACTTAGCTGCCAAATTTCTCTTACACACATCCGAAGACTTGATTATTGTTATACTGGCCAGAATTTGAACAGCCAGGGCTCGACTGGTAATCTGAATACTGAGAAACAGCACATGATGTCAGCAAAAATCCTTCTACCATGACTTTTATGGCATTAATATCATTAGCACTGCCCTGTCTCTCAGTGCCCCCCAACCCCCGCTGCCAATATCCTTTTTAAGACAGGGTCTCATGTAGCCTAGACGGACTACTCTGATCTTGTTTTTAATTGCTATCTCCCTTGTTCTCTGCACGCAAACCTTCTTGGGTCAATCATGCTAAGCCCACAGTTGTCTAAGCACTGTCACACCAAGGGCTTCTTTGGCTGAATATTCTTCCACAAATCTGCTTGGTTCCTTTCACTCCTTTTATATCTCTACTTACACAGCATCAAGACCTTTCCTGACACATCTTTATACTACATCCCAGCAGGGTACTCCTCCTTTTATCCCCTGATTTTTCTCCACCACACTTGTTACTTGACAAGAGAGCACAGTTAGTTTCTTTCTTCCAATTAGAATATAAAATCCAAGGCAGGGCTTCTGATTATATTATTTACTACAATAGTCAGACATATGAATGAGCAAATGAAAATGTAGGAGAAAGAATTGTGTCATTTAGGATTTATTATAAGACAATAATAACAATCAGAAAATATACACAAAGGTGACTTATATGGCATTTTATTATTTTTTTAGATTACCTTTTAAATCTAAGGAATGAAGATTTCAAAATTCTGTAGGAGGTACAAAAGAAGAGATGGGAAGGCTTTGGAAATTCTAAAACATGATCATCAGGTAATATAATTACTATATTAATGAAGAAACAAGAGCTGTTAAAGGAATCAAATGTGGTTTGAGAGAGAAATGCTCAAATGAAAGTCTACTGTACAAACAGCATGTAAGAGAAGAATAGAGAAGAATGAACATAAGGAAGCCATTAGGAATGTCCAGAGTGCCCTCCAACACAATAAATAGCCCACAAAGGGGTATCACTGAACTATACAATATGTATTTACAGTGGCAAGTATAAAGGAAAAGAAATCATAAAGCCTGGTAATTAATCAGACTGGTGGAAGAAAAAAAAAAGCAAAACACAATTCAATTTCCATATCAAGGAAGAGAACAGAAATTAAGGTCAAAAAATACAATCCCATTATCTTTTTCATGTTAATTAAAGTTAAGTCACAATTCTCTTTTCTTTCTATTGATTTTCAATCTTTGAGAAAAACACTTTCTGTAAAACAGGTCAACTACTTTTTCTTATAGTTAACAGAAACTAAAACTCTAAATAAATACAGATGAGAGGATTGAACATGTAAAGGTTTTATTTATTGTAGTTTTAAAAGAAAATGATACTATTATAAAGGTTCTCTTTTAATTTCTAATATAGCAAACACTGACACAACCACGTAAATGAGTTCTTAGGAGTTGTCAATGATTTTTATACATCGAAGGAAGGAGGTGATGAGACCCAAAGGCTTGAGAACCACTGTCCTTAAGTAAAACCCATACTTTACATTCACTGAAACAAGTATTAAAAACAAGCTGACCCAGCTTGACTGCCTGTCCAAACATACCTCAATGTTCTTAACTTTAGAACAGGAATGTTGCCAGAGATAACAATCAAAGAACTACTTCCATAAACAGACAAAAATTCTAAGCACTGGTACACAATGTTAAACTTGGAAATACATGAGCCAAATCCGACAAGAATGAAGCAAGAATCAGACAAAGCCTTAACATTAACTGAATATTTCAACAATAACGTCTTTCAATGCCTGAAGCAAGAAATATACAGATGACTTGACAAACACTGTCAAACAATCAACCAGTTTGGCCTGTCATTTATAAAATAAATTCTCACATGGCAGGATATACATTCTTTTCAAATACACAAAGGTCATTTACCAAGATATAGAAATTCTTCACATAATTTTGGAGCATAGAACATTAAAAAATATTAGCAATATACAGTATGTTCTCCAACTACAGTAATAGAAATCAATGAGCAAAAAACTGAAAAAATTCCAAATAAATGAAAATTAACATATATTTCTTTGCAGTCATAAGTCAAAGTTCAAGGGATATATCTGAGAATATTTTAAACTAAATATTAACCAAAATATAACATCAAAATTTGTGTAATACAGCTAAAACAGTGGTTAGAAACAGGAAAGGTCTACAATCAATTATCTAAACTTCTACTTTTAAAAACTACAATAAAAATGAATTAAACCCAAAGTAGGAGAAATAAAGATAACTGCACCAATCACTCAGATAGAAAAAAGAAACAGTACAGAAAAATTCATTAAAACTAAATGTTGTTCCTTTTTGAATAATCAATAAAAAAGATATAAGTCACCAATATTAAGAACATAAGAGGGTATTTGACCATATCTCTTGTAGCCATTAAAAGGATATTAAGGAGATATTGTGAATAACCTTATGTCAATAAATCAACATTTAGATGAAATAAAACAAATTCCTTGAAAGGCACAAATTACCAAAACTGAAACAAGAAGAAATAGAAAATATACATATTAAAGAAATTAAGTCCATGTTTTAAAATTTCCCCACAAAGCAAATTCCAGTCCCAGACAGCTTCACTGATGAGTATCAACCATTTAAGGATAAGATGGTACCAAGCACATATAAATGGAAGTCTGGTCTGGTGTAGGCATGGTGACACACATCTAGCACTTGTGAGGCTGAGGCAAGAAAACAGTGAGTTTGAGGCCAGTCTGGGCTACATAATGATACCCTATCTCAAGCTCTCCTTTTCATCCCCTCTACCCAAGAGAGAAAATGGAAGTCTATTACAGAGAGTAGCAAATTCTCCATACTGGGAACACAGTTTCTAGCATTCTCCCATTGAGAAGAAAGCTAAAACTTTACTTACAAATCTGGACTAGTATAGGTCCTTTATATTGAAAAAGAATGGATCCTCTTTCAGTAAAGTTAGTGGCTTGTCCATTTTTTTTTTCTAGAATTACTTCAACCCCACACATTCCAGCAAATGTCTACAACTCAGGTGCATCCTGAATATACTATTCCCAATATGTAACATAGGACTTCATACATTTTGCTTAATCATTTTACAGTCCATAATTTAGGGTTACTGTTGTACCTATCACAAAGTAACCTTAAGAATGAGATTTGTAAAATATGCCTGGTTGACTTGAAAAATAATAGCAGAAAACTGCAAAAAGTATATTTATACCCAATAAATCCTCTGTAAAGATCTCTATAGGATACTAGTTTATTTTATTAAATTGGGAATCTTAGCAAAAATACTGTAGGAAATTGAAATTGTTTCCCAATTCTTAATGATAAAAGTCAAATTTAATTGGTCTCACTTGGTCCTTTCACATCTTCTAATATATGCAGGCCACATAGCTATTGTTGAAAGCAGTAGAAAAGTCTAATCTGAGAAACAAGTAATATTAGTTTCTCTGGCTGAAAAGAAGGAGCTAAAATAAACTCACTATTTATCTCCTTTCATATATTAATACAACCCTAAGAATACTTCCTAAAATGTCCACATTTTTTTTGAACATCATTTATAAACCATTCATCTACCTAAACAAAGATGGTCCTTCGAATACAAAGTCCTGTAATCCAGCACTAGAAAAAATTTAACTTACCAGTCGGGCTATAGACACCCTGAATGTTGGACATGCCATGTGGAACCGGGGGATGGCAACATTAAAGACCTTGTCCTTAAAGTACAGATAGTGGAAGGTATAATACCCTTCCATATAGCCTGATGTTGTAGAAAATGTGGTGCAGCTTGTGTATTCATATATCCGACCTGGGCTAATAATTGGAAATTCACCTGCAGAGAAAATAATAACAACAAACCAAATATAAAACTCACTTCTTCCTTAAAGTAAACATGTTCTCAAGGTGCTATATATGTAGTTTGAAAGTAAACTGCACAATTAGGAAGAACTCTTAAAAGGATACACAACAAAGTACTGGCAGTGATGAGAACATGAGGGTTTAAGTCCTCTTGATATTTACTTTTTAATCAGATTTTTGGGGCTAAGTACTTTTTGCCCTAAGTATGGAGGGCAGAGGACAACTTATGGGAATTGTTTCCCTTCCATCATGTGGACCCCAGGAATGGAACTCAGGCCATCAAGTTTGGTGGAACTCGCCTTTGTCTGCAGAGTCATGTCACCAGCCCTTAACAGTTTTTTGTTTTGTTTTGTTTTTAATTCCCCATATTCTCTACAAGGCAGCAGGTGGGGAATATCTAGTAAAACAAAATTTAAAAGGCACACATTTTTCTTCAAAGCTGACATAATCATTAAAACACAAATAGAAAAGTGTCACAGTTGAGACAGTAGCTCAAACAAACATAAAGGCAATCTAATTCCTATACCATTGAGAGACTAAAACATAAGGTTTGCAAGGTGAATCCTTAATGTTCAGTCTAGATAAACGTCAGTTACTGAGGAAGAGTCTTCACACCAACAAGTGGCAAAAAAGAATTACAGCTGTAATAATTCCTTGGCACTAGATTCTCTCTTTTTAAGATTTATTTTATATTTCAGCCAGATGTGGTGACACACACCTTAAATCCCAGAATTCAGGAGGCTAATGCAGGTGGATCTCTGTAATTTCCAGCCTGGTCTACAGAATTCCAGGCAAACAAGAGCTACAGTAAAACCCTGTGTCCAAAAATAAGCACATAAATAAAAATAGCAAAACTGTAAATTATAACTATGTGTTCACATATATGTGTTACATATGTGCACATGAGTGTAAGTGCTCACAGAAACCAGAAGGGATTGAATCTCCTGGAGCTGGAATTACAGGTGGTTGTGAACTACCTAATGTGGATGCTAGGAACTGAACTTGAGTCTTCTGGAAGAGCAGCATCAATAATAGCAATGAAAATTAAATCTGTGCTATTAACTTCAATATCCACCTCCAAATTTTATAAAGATTACCAATATAAAATTTATTTTCTTACTGTCTTATGCCACCTAACTCATAGAACATAATATTTTTTTTTAAAAAAATAAAGAACACAAGAATAACAATCAATGAACCCTAGATGACCCACAAAAAGGGAAATCAGTCCCTGTACAATTGAAGTTGCTATGGTTTTAGAAAAGATGACATTTCAGGAACTAAAATGATAGGCTAATGACATCTACAAATTACATTTATGGGTACACAGTTTAAACTTTCTTTGAAGCAACTGACAGAGAAATGTAAATCTCGGATGACATACCAACTACTCCAGGTCCTTGAACTTCTTCCACATCCCCTTTAGCATTCGTTATCCTCCAGTAGCGACTATCCAACTGACAGGCTTTCTCCGGAAGTGCATCCCTTGACATTTCAATCCTGAAGAGCAGGACACAGATACATTTGTTTTACTTTTTTTTTTTTTTTTTTTTTTAAATACTATAACATTTGAGTTAATTCCAATGGAGACTTTCAAGGGAAATTAATAAATCTAACCCAAAGCCCATGTTAGCTAAAAGTTCTCAAAGACATTGCTTTAGCTAGGCTAATTCTCCCCATGGAAATGCTTTTGACTCTATTCATCTATTATTTGGTAAGAACCAACAACAGAAGGAGTCACAAAAATACATACAAACACTGTGGTAGCAACCATCTTTGGCTGCTCAAATAAATATCCATTCGGCAGACATGAAAAACTTCTAAAGAACTCAGTCATTCACTCATACAAACCTATGCAAAACAATTATTATTTTTTTTTTTATTTTCCATTAGCTTCTAAAAAACTCAAAGTACCATGTCTCCAGTGACTGGGATTATACTTCAACTCTGTTTCTAGATACTACCATTTCTTCTTTCTCTAGAAATCTATGCCTCTAATTTTCACATTGAGTACCTTGCACTTCGTGAAGGAAGGTATTTCTATTTTAAACAAGCCTTAATTCTAAGTAGAATCTAAATAAAAGCAAATATCTATGCCGGGCGTTGGTGGCACATGCCTTTAACCTCAGCACTTGGGAGGCAGAGGCTGGTAGATCTCTGTGAGTTTGAGGCCAGACTGGTCTACAGAGCAAGTTCCGAGATAGGCTCCAAAGCAATATAGAGAAACCCTGTCTCGAAAAACCAAAACAAACAAACAAACCATCTAGACTACACTTGTAGCAACAGGTTATTTTTCTGCCTAAGCATAGAATATTTCTAAGTAGCATTCCCAGGACCATGGGATAGCAAAGAACTAGCTCCCACAAGCTGACCCCTGGAAACTACCCACACATTCATATACAATTAAAAATGTTAACTAAAATTTAAGAGCACTTTAGAGCTAGGGAGATGGCTCAGTGGGCACAAACATAAGGGCTGGTGCTTGGAGCCCCAGAACCTACTTAAATACTGGATGGGTGTGGCTGCCTGAACAAGAGGTAGAGACAGTATCCCCAAAACAAGACATATTGCTAGTCTAGTTATACTAGCGAGTCCTAGGTTAACTACCAAGACCTGCTTCAAAAATTAAGGTTACTGTGATAAAGACTCCTGTAGGCTTCTGCATACACAATGAACCCACACCACCCACACATATGCAAACAAATACACATACATTAAAAAGTAAATACAATTTAAAAATAAAAATAACTCTTAAGTGCACTTTATGGCTGGGGATTATATAGCTCAGTGACAGAGTACTTGCCAAACATGCATAGGACCAAACATCACAGGATCAAAAGGTGAGTTGTTTTTTTTTTTTTTTTTTTTTTTTTTTCAAGACAGGCTTTCTCTGTGTAGGCCTGGTTGTCCTGGAACTCACTCTGTAGACCAGATTGACCTCAAACTCAGAGATCCACCTGTCTCTCCCTCCCAAGTGCATGTGCCACTACCACCCAGCGATGAAAGGTGAGTCTTATGGTTCACTTACACAATGGTTCCAAGGACTCACTTGTTGAAGATTAGCTTGTCCTTTTCTCTGCTTCCTGGCCACTATGAAGTGAACAGCTTTACTCTGTGGCATTATTCTACACTTTTATGATACTCTGCCAAATAACCATGGACTGAAGCCTCTTAAACCCTGAACCAAACTAAACCCCTTTTAACTCCTTAGATCTGCAACAATCACATTTAAAATTCTCACCTGATTCGGTATGTGAAGAAATAGTGTGGTGGGTGTACAGAACTGAGTTCTGGTAAAAATGATGTGGACACTGAAACTGTAATATCTCCCGTTGTTGCTACACACTCTGGGTCATGAATGTATCTAGCAAGGAAGAAAATTAAACATGTTTACATCAACTAGCTTTAATTCTAAATTCTTAAATGGTTTAAAGATGTCATGTATAATAACTTCATTATGCTTTACAATTAAAACTTTAAGTCATATTGATACAATTCTATTGAACTTAAATTTCATAATGTTGGAAAACCTTGGTGATTTTAGTTCAGTATAGACAGAAATCAAAGATCCATGGTCACTGATTCAAACCATGGATCAGTAATCAGTTTAGAAACTAACAAGGGTTTCTCTTGGTTTTCAGGACTATAAATATTTGGGAGACATCTGAAACCTGACCATACTCATTAAATAGTGAATATGGGCAATGAAATTATGTAAGAATCTAAGTATCTTGAGCCTCTTATGTATAATTAGTAATTCCTCCTCTGGTGGAGAAGCCCATGACATATACTTAACCTACTGTTTCTACCATGAAGGCTACGATGAACTAGTATTACCTGTAACCTCCTCTAATATTAACTACCAACATCTGAATGTTCCAATTCGAGATAATAAATATTTTCCATGAGTTAGTTGTTTACTTGCTGTTCATAAGAAAACTATTAATTGGCTAACTTTTTTGTTTGCAAAGAGAAATTATATAGCTACCGACAAGCTACTAAAGGACATTTAGTTTTTTCTCTTGATTTTTCAAGACAAAAGAAATATGGCCTGATTAAATGTTGGGATGTTTTAGCTTTGGTGTGAGAATAAAATAGTAAGATTTAGGACAGTGAAGTTTATTTCTTAACCTTTCAGAGAAATCTCATCTCATGATAGATATCTGCAATAGTTAGCCTTTTCTGGTTTACAGTAGTTTCAATCCCAAAAGCCTCAACTAAAATACCTGAAAATTTGGTCTCTGATGATGGGGAAACCACCTGATACAACATTGTTGACGTAGGATGTAAACCAGTCAGTAAAAGTAGCACCTATAAACCAAGAAGGGGGAAATGAGCAAATGGGAAAAAAAATGTATAAACAACCAACTATAATTTCACTATATTAAAGGTATAATACCAAAACTAGAAATGTTTATAGGTATAATTCTACTAGTACTCTATTAGTCCAATTTCTTTTCCCAATTCTTATTGTGAGTGTGGCGTATGCACTTGTACACATACATGCAGAGGCCAAAGGACATCACATCCCTGACTCATCACTCTCTACCTCATTCTTTTGAGACAGGCCCTTTTCATTGAAACTGGAGGTAAACCAGCAAAAGGCCCAGCAATCCTGCTGTTTCTGCCCCATAAAATGCTGGGATTACAGACACTGACACACCCAGCTTTTACATGGGTACTGGCACTTAAACTCAAGATCCTTATGCTTGCACATTTACCCAAATGAGCCATCAACCCCACCCTTCTGTTCTCAACTCCATCAACATCATGTCTTTTATGTTCTCTACCAGCATTATCCACAGCTCCTGCCCAATTTTTGTTAGGGAATTCTACAGATATTTCCACCTATGGTGTTCTTTGTTTTATACTCAAAATAATTGGTTTTGGTACAGTGATAAAAACTATTTTTCTATTAATTTCTAAGTCACATAGAACAAAGGAAATAGTTACATTTAGGAAAAACACATTAAGAAAGATTATCAGACACCTCCTTTCAATGAACAGGGTTCATCTTAGACACATCCTAAAATACACTCAAAATACTGGCACAAGCTGGGCTCAGTCTAGACATCTTCCAGAGACATGATGGTGTTTAGCTTAGAAATAGGACACTGTAGAAGTCAGAATGAGTTGAAAGCTAAAGGCTAAATTTAAAAACTTGCATAACTAGGGTTAAAAGTTAGACTTTTTAGATACTGTGAAATATATCACAAACTTGGACCATGTCACAGTATTAAAAAAAAAAAAAAAAACCAGATACTTGTTTTCGGTTCTAGATTCCAATTAGAAGATGAAATTAAATGCCAACATTTGTTTATTTACTTAGTGCTGGGGACTGAAACTGGGGCCTTGCATATTCCAGGCACATAGTCTCCCATTGAGCTATCCCCTAGCTCTTCTGTACTATGAATACATAGGGGATATGTTATATCAGAAATCCCCTTATAAAGCAGACTTAGTATGTAGGAATCTTCTGCTAGTTAGCAGGATGAGACCACATGAACAGCAAAAAGTGGGCTGCACTTACATCTAAACTAAAGAGTTCCCCTAAATTACTAAGCAATATCTTCACAGCCAAGGAAAACAAGTGCCAAGGAGTGTGTGAAGGCTACAATTTACACTCATCTTGAAGAATGATGTTTCTCAGGTCTCTACTGTGACTTGTTAATTAGCATCAAATGAGAAAAAAATATAATCATTTTAAGTAATTGTACCTCCAATTATATATTAATGTGCTCAGGGGAAAGTTCACTGATATGTTATAGAAATTATCCTAGTTAGCTATAACTATCAACTTGACATAGCCTAGAGCAGCAGTACTCAACCTGTGGGTCATGAACCCTTTGAGGTCAAAGGACCCTTTCATAGAAGTTGCCTAAGACCATCCTGCATATCAGATATTCACATTATGATTCACGACAGTAGCAAAATTAGTTATAAAATAGCAACAAAATAATTTTATGGTGGTGGTGGGTCACCATAACATGAGGAACTGTTGAGGACTGTTGGCCTAGAGTCACCTGGGAAGGAAGTCTCAATTGAGGAATTGTCCTGATTATTAATTGATGTAGGCGAGCCTGGCCCATGTACATTGCACCATTTCCTGGGCAGATGGCTCTGGGCTACATAAGAGCAAGGTAAGCATAAGCCTGTGAGTGAGCCAGATAGCAAGTGGCATTCCTACACAGTCTCTGCTTCAGTTCTTGAGTCCTGCCCTGGTTTCCCCAATGACAGACTATGACCTGTAAGCTGAAATAAATTCCTTGTTCTCCAAGTTGCTCTCTGTCAGGGTATCCCTATCACAGCAACAGTTAAGGTAATATAGGACCTATTATCATTTATCTAAAGAAAGTTAAAAAATTAAGACTGTATAGGATATGGCTAATTTTTTCAAACAAAACAAAAGGGACGCCCCAATGAGAAAACACATAGAACTTATTAAACCAGGAAGTACTAAGAGATCCAAGTATAAAGTTGCCAGCTGCTCAAGTAACTCAATTTTACCAATTCATTTTCTTTTCTAAGCCAATAGAAAGAAGGGAAGAGACACTTTTCTGTTTCTCTTACCTATGATAAACATGTCAATAGCAGCAGGATTCCGAGCCATTTGGTCCTATGAAGAAAACAGAAACAAAACTGATACAAATACATTTCTTCTTGTTCCTCATCTACTTCTCCAAGAATAAAGCAAAATAGATAAAAACAAATGCAGTGTTCTAATTAATACTCAGATATTCTTTATTGTTGTAACTATTTTCCAGGCTAAGCAATCACTGTCTTGGAGAGTTCAGCTGCAACCACCCACCCTCACCAGACATGGCAGTTGTTCTGATTGTTTATACCCATGTCCACAGATGAGCCTACTCTCCAGCTACTCCCTACCACCTGGTGTATATAGAAGTAGGGGAAGATTAGGGCTGGGGCTCCATTTATACAGCTATAGGGAAGTCTTCACACTGGGTAAAGCTTTTGGGGTGCAGCCAGTTCATGGAGGGCTACCCACAAGTCTATAAGTAATCCCTCACCTATGAAATATTGTCACTGGTTCCCTAGAGTGAACTTTGGTGGACTCGTGCCTTGGTTTGCCATTGGGACCTTAGGGGAAGGGGTAGAAAGTCTTATGACTCTCCTTGAGAAATAATTTTAGCAATGCCTGTCAGTTCCTACTATAATTTCTATGTTGGGGCTTATTCTATAAAATGTCTGCAGGCACCTCTCAATAAAATGAAAACATAGAGTGCAATTACTATTAAGACAAGAAACTATCCTCAAGAACATAATTAACAAGTTAAAGTGATAAATAGCTTGTTATCCTAGAAGAAAGGGCTTTGGATTCAGAATCAAGAGACCTCAACAGTTCTAGAATGTTCAAAAGATAATTTTACACTTTACAACCAAGACTTCAATAATGAGTTCCTCAGTTTGTCTTATACTTAAAATGCCTTAATGTGAGTCACAACTTTCCATCTAAACATGTTGCAGTCTGCACTATTTGTACAATGGCAAACCTTCCTTTTGGTATTTTGTTATTATCATGTGAGGATATTAGTTCTCTAGCTAATAAAATGTATCATGTTCCAGTCTATTTTATTTCCCTCAATGTATCCATGCATACATTTATATTATTGTCAGAACACATGTTAAAGCAATAATCAAACACACTTCCTACTTACTGGACATTGGTAGAACACTTCATTTTTATTTCGGCCCTCTGCAGCCTCCACAGCTATGTACTGACTCAAGCCCGTATGTATGCAAAAGGTTAAAGGGAGACAGTATTTCAATCCCTGTCTCTGCTGAAATCCTCCGGCAGCAGTATCAACATCTAGTAAATCTTCAGAGCGATAGTGATTTGACAGTGCCATACTTCCCAGCAACCTGAGGAGAATACAGACAGACTCAAAACTGTCAACAGCAGAACAAAAACACACAGTGCCACAGGGCTTGTGTTCCAGCTTTCTGGTGAATAATTTCATACTGACAAATTTCTTTTTTGTTTTGTTTAAAACAAACAAACAAAACTAGGGTCTTGCTATGCAACCCTAACCGGTGTCAGGGGCATTGGGATTCCCTGGAGTTGTAATTACTGGCCATTTTGAGTTGCCCAATATGGGCTCAAGAGCAGTACTCACTCATGAGCACAGAGCCATCTCTCCAGCTCCCTAACTGACCTGTTTATGACCCATCCCTGACATCTCACTTCTGAGTACTACTCTGTTTATCAGTAGAATCCCCTTGGGGAATACTCAACACAGATTTGAAATCATTAACAGTTTCCCATAATTACTCACACACAGAAGAGCAACAGATTCCATCAAGAACAATGCAACATTCTCCCTGTGCTCTTGGTATTTTACAAATACAATTATCTTTGAAATAGCTTAATTGCATGAAAGTACAAAAGGAATAGACACAGTCAAAGTTTATCAATTCTAAAACTGAAAACAAATTTGATGGCTACTATAGGGTTTTCTTTTATCAAAAAGAAAAAAAAAAAAAGAACAAAACAAGAAAAAGGAAGAAAAAAAAATCAAAAATCCAAAACAAAATGAATACTTCAATTTGCAAAGATTTTAAAAAGGCCATTCAATTATAGGTTGTAATTGAATATGACAAAACTCTTCTTTCCTTAGTTTGGTGTGTTCAGCTCTGAACAAATCATGCTTTGTTTTTCCTTTACAAGTATAGTAGATAGAAATTGCATCAAGTTCCTCAACCATTTTGCTTAACTTGTAACAGGGTAAACACATCAAGCATTCTTAACAGGTTAGTTAAATATACTCACAAATGTACACACACGTATCTCTCCTGTGTCCCACAGCTACTGTCCCTGACCAGATCTCATTTTAATCATAAAAATCAGTTGGTAAGAATAATTCTTTTATAAGACATTTATTTTGGTAAAATTTAATTTAACCTAGAGCTATTATCTTATGGATTGCTATAAGAGAGATCCCCCCTTTCTACAATATACACATTCATATATATATATATATGTATATATATATTATATAAACATACATTTTCTTATATACACACATAACTAAGGAAAACTAAATAAAATGTACTTTCATTCTAGAAAGTAATGCTCATTTCTGAGAATGACTTACCCTGGAACCACTAACTTCTGCCCATTGTGAATCCGGTATGAACAGCGATAATCATCAGGGAGCTTGCAACCAATCTGAGCTTCCACAGCATCCAGATCTTCCTCACGTGCACCTTCTGCAAATACACACCAAAGATGGAAGTGTGCACACACAATCAGACTTCCATCTAGTAGGTTAACTGCCAGCCCATGAAACAATCTTACAAGTGAATTCTATTCAACATGCACTGTTAAAATATAGCACAGTGAATTGGAAATAAATTTTAAACATTAAACAAAGTCTTTAGTTTCCTCTCAACAGGAAAAACACCAGCACAAGTAAAATGGAGAGGAGCACCAAGGAAATGAACAATTAATTTTTTTAATATTATAAAAAAAAACCTTATCACTTTTCCAAACCTAATATGTTTTTAAACAACCTTGACAGTTCTCTCAGCTGATGTCATTCCAGAGTTTCAATACGACCCTTTACGGGAAATATGGGACATTGGATAGATGTAGGTTCATTCTGTGAGAAACCACTAAGTTGAAGTCTTGCATGCACATATGAAAACTTTGCTGCATTTTAACTGTCACAAATTGGGAGAAAAAAAAAAAAATACAAACACCAAGAGAAGAGATCTACTTCCAAGCAACAGCCCCTCAGGTTGTTGGGCCAAACCTCTCACACTGAATGATTATGGCAAAAATTCTATTAAGGCATAAAAAAAAAATTACTACCAACAACAAAACAACCCACAAAGTAGCCAGATATGGTGGCACATGACTGTAACCCAGGAGTTAGAGTTCAAGGTGAACTCAAAAAAAGAAAAACAGAAACAAAACAATCAAACAAAAACACAAGAGATCAATTAGGCATCTAGAATCAACTTGATTTTTTAAGCAATTGCCAATTTTAAAACAAGTGGTTAAAGAGATGATGAGCCCTGCTTTTTTTAGGCAATATTGTAGGACTGATGGATTAAAGGGGGGGAGGGGGCTTCAGAGTCCGCTAAGGAGAAAAGAACCTGTTCAAACAAACAAACAAACAAACGGTTTTGGCTAGGTTACAGAAAGCCAAATCCTAAGAAAAAAGTGAACTGGAAACAAACTGGCCTTCACAGATGAAAAGCAGTTTTTCCAATTACATCAATCCTAGACCAGATTAATGTGATCAATTAATGATGATCTGCAGCAAAAGCAGAAGGTACTCTCTAGAAGAAAAAATTATTACCCTAAGACCCAAATAGTGCTGTGTAATCCCTCAGAAGAACTAAGCCTCAATAAAAACAAGAAGCAAATAAAGAGCAGGCAGAGTGTTGACACATAACTGTGATCCTAGCCACACGTTTTCAGGATTAAGAAATATGCTAAAAATTAAAATCACAAAATAACTCTATAGAGGGGTCAGTGATGGACTAACAGGCATAGGTACTTGAGTTGGAGCCCAAATACCCTCCCATAAGATGGGGAAGGAGATGATCAGAACTAAAGCTCTTTTACTGTTCAGGAAGGGGTAAATACTAAATTCTATTAGACTTCAATAAATTAAAAATGCACATTTTAATCTATATTGTGGTCACTAAAAAGGAAATACAAAAGAAAAGAAACATAATTAAGAATAAAAAAAGAATGAACATATTTAAGTGGCATGGTTAAGTTCAAATGTATTAGTAAATAAATTAAATATCACTAAGCCAAATATTTTAATGAACAAGGGCTCAAGAGAGATGCAGTGCAGAGGTAGAGGGCACAGGTGTAAAATGTGTTAGGCCTTGCCAGGCAGTGGTGACACACACCTTTAATCCCAGCACTTTGGAGGCAGAGGCAGGTAGATATCTCTGAATTTAAGGCCAGCCTGGTCTACAGAGCAAGTTCAGGACAGTCAAGGCTACACAGGAAAACCTTGTCTAAGAAGAGGGGGGGTGGTGGTGGAGGGAGAAGGTGTTAGGTCTCAGCTTCAATTTCAACACTAAAGTAATTAAAAAAAAAAAAAAAAAAACTCTACCCAAGAGATTCATCTTTAGACTTTAAATCAAACAGCTTTATTAAAACTAGTGGAGAACTTTCATAACAATAACAGCAAAAGGTTAAATTCACTATGCATGAATCAATTTTATGTACCTAAGTAAAACACATGTGCATACACACTATTTTTTCCACTTAAAGTTTAGATACACTGCAAGGGGGCAGTGAAGTACCACCCACAGCCCCAAATATATTTAATGACCGAGTTAAAAAAGTATTAGTAGTTTAAAACAATACTCATTTGTTTGCCTGATTTGCAATTAAATGTGAGGCTAGCCCAGGCAGGGCTCCATGCTTAACATCTCCCCTACACAGGTGCTCTTACCCCTCTAAGATTAGCTGAGAGAAGATGGGAGTACACTGAGCCCAACCCACAGGAAACCAAGGCAGGAACTCACTTATTATTTGTTTCCATGGATCACAAGTTCAAACGCAAATGAATGGGATCCTCTGTTTGGATCACAATGTTGAAATCATGGTGTTAATTGAGATGCTAGCTCATTTTAGCCACCTTCTGCTTCAGATCTTCTAAGCTCACTCAGTCATTTGCAGAATTCAGCAACCTGCAGTTTCTCAATGAGGCTTCAGTGCCCAGGAGTCCCCTGACATCTCCTATTCTGAAGCCTTCTCAATATACCAATTTGCTTACTCAAAGTCAACAGGAAAAACATATTAAGAAGTTCTCTGCCTTCTGAAAAACCCAGATCCTTTTAAAAATATACTTGATTAAGGTAGGCCCATTCAAGATCATTTCCCTTTTAATTAACATTCAAATTCAATTCATTGGGGACCTTAACTATACCTGCAAAATCTAAATCAAATGATGAAATTTAAATCAAATATAAAAGTAACAAAATATTAATGAATTTTTAGTTCTGATAAATGTCCTCCAGTGTAATATACTAGGGAAACTGAGTATACAGAACTCTCCGTAAATCTAAATTACTCTCTCTATATATTAGGAGCTGGAGAGATGCCTCAGTCAAGAAAGCCCTTGCTCTGCTCCCTAACAACTTTTAAAAGTCAGGCACTCTGCTGAATGACTGCAATCCCAGAATTTAGAGACACAAGCAGGCATATCCCTATAGCTCACTGACCATTCCCTCTAGTTAAATCAATGAGCTCCAGGTTTATCGAGAGACCTTGTCTCAAAAAATAGGGTGGAAAACAATTTAGGCATCAACCTCTGATCTTCACATGCATGTGTGTGCACATACACACACACATACAAAAGAAAATGTAAAAAAAAAAACCAAAAAAGTTTAATAGAAAAGAAACAAAGCAGAAAAGAAGCCAGTAGTATATGTTGAATAAGGAAAAAGCTAATGTTTGCATTCTATGTGTTACATAAAGGTACGGTGCACCTGGGAGGCAAAGATAGATCTCTGTCTAAGGACAGCCTGGTCTACAGAGCTAATTCCAGGACAGCAAGGGCTATAGAGAAACCCAGTGTCAAAAAAAAAAAAATCTAACAAATAAACAACAACAACAACAATAACAACAACAACAAAAAAAACCCTTAATTTTGAAACTGGGTATGGTGGTGGATACCTTTAATCCCAGCATTTGGGAGCCAGAGACAAGCAGATCTCTGAGTTTCGGGCCAGCCTGGTCTACAGGATGAGTTCCAGGACAGTCAGGGTTACACACACACACATACACACACACACACACACACACACACACACACACACACACACACACACACAAAACCTGTGTCAGAAAACAAACAAAAAACAAAAACCAACAAGTGTTGTGTCTATCTTTGTGCTATTATAAATTATTAACTATTTTACTGATCACCACTGCATAATTATTTTCAGATTATGTCTATCGAAGTAGCTTATGCCCATGCCAGGTAAATGTTATTACTCATTTCCTCCTAGAGGATAAGTTGTTAAAATATTAACTGGGGCTCCCAGTGCTCTGCCTACTCCATTTACTAATATCTAACAAACCCAGATTTAGCACCTTGTCATGAAATCATGGTTTGTCTGAAGTAACATTTTCCTGAGAAATTACAGTGGAACTCTGAAAGAAAATGGGAATGCTATCTCAAAAAGACTGGTTCTAATGAAAAAAAGAACAGATTCCAATTTTAGCTTAGAAAAACCATAGCAAACATGTGGTTCCACTTAGTGAATAAGTCTGAAAAAACTTAAAGTGGAAAGCAGATAAACAGTTACAAATATATTTTATAGGAACTAATTACAAATCAAACCAATAACTTGTTAGTATTTCTAGTTATAATTAGACAATATTACAGAAAGAACATAGATTCAGAGGTCAAAAATACTTGAGTTCAAATCTTAGTTTTAGTACTTTGTAAATACCAAACGAAAAGTTGTCCTTATTCTGTGTTAGTCTAACATGCTTAAAAACCCAGATTCTTTCCTAACATTTGATAGACACCAAACAAAAAAGGGTATTTATAAACATTTTCAGTTAAAAATTAATCTTGGGCTACAGAAATGGTTCCATAAATAAAGCACTTGTCATCTAAGCATGAGGATGGAGTTTGAATCCCCAGAGACCATGTACAAGCTGAGCAGGCAAAGCAGCCTACCTGTAATCTATCATTTGGGAGGTAGAGGCAGGAATACCTGGGGTAAGCAGGCCAGCTATATTAGCTCAGTCAGCAAGCTCAGGAAGAGACCCTACTTCAGTAAATAAAGTGGAGAGCAATCCAGAAAGATATGTGATGTCCTCTGGCCTCCAAACATGGAGGCGAGCACACATGTAAACATGTACACACACATGCACACCACATACATACATACAAAACAATAATAACAACAATAGTAATCTTTAGGAATGTGGGTATAGTTCCATGGTAGAATACTTGCCTAAAATGCATGAGGCCCTGGGCTCAACCACCATCATTGTAAAAATAAAAATAAATCATAATGGTTATTCTCAAGCAATCTTAGCGTTGTTTCTTTTATATAAAACAAAGATAAAAGCAGTTCAGCTTTTTATCTAATAACCATATGGGTTCCCAGGTTAACTAAAAAGGGGCAAGATCCCTTTAACACCAGCATTATACTTTCTTGGCTATTAACAAAATGTGAATGGTGAACTAGAAGAGGTTGGATTAGCCCAGGTACACAATAGATCCAAAGTTATTTAAACTAGTCTTACTATACTAACTAAAATGTGGATGGGGAACATGTATTCCCAATACCTTTCAGAGACAAAACCATCCGAGGACACCTAGGCTCCAAGTACTTCTTGAGGTCATCCCAGGCCTTTTTAATAGCAGCATAATGGTCAATGTATCTTCCTACATCTAAGTAAGTATCTATGAAGAGAGATTTCCAGCAACGATTCTTCCGGGATTTCTCTTCCCTAAATAGATTTAAAAAGACAAGATTAAAAAATCTTTTGAGATTATTTTAACATATCCTTTTTTCTTTTCCTTTGCTTTTTGAGATAGGGTCATATATATATAATACAAGCTGGCCTTCAAGTAGCTATGCAGCTAGGGATAGACTTGAATTTTTGATCTTTATGCCTCTAGCTGCCAGTTGCTAGAATTAGAAATGGGTACCACAGGGGGCTGGAGAGATGGTTAAGAGCACTGGCTGCTCTTCTAGACATCCCGAGTTCAATTCCCAGCAACCACATGGTAGCTCACAAACACCTATAATAACATCTGGTGCCCTCTTCTGGCCTGCAGGAATACATGCAGAGACTCATACATTTAAAAACAGGAAGGAAGGAAGGAAGGAAGGAAGGAAGGAAGGAAGGAAGGAAGGAAGGAAGGAAGGAAGGAAGGAATTAAACATTTTTAAGGAGAAAAAAAAACAAATGTGTATCACAAACTTAGCACATGTTTTTGATAATTTACCAACACACTTTTTATTGGGAGTTTGTGGTAATTGCCTTTTTAGTTTCTTAATTTAATTTAGCTACAAAGATAACTAGATAACAAGAAGTGACACATCAAAGCTTTAATAGTTACTACTTCATGGTAGGGTAATTTATTAGTCATTTACTTTCTACTGAATTTTTCCCCAAGTTTCCTAGTTAATTTCAATTTACTTCTGAAAATGTATTGGTTAAAAAAAAAAACAAAGAACACACAACTTTTTTGAGACAGAGTTTCATGTAGCTCTGGCTGGCATGACCTGATTCCCCTGCCTCCACCTTTCAAGTGCTGAGATTATAGGTGTATGCTACTGAACCTGGCCTCAATTATAAAAATATAAAATGCATTAAGTAGTTATCCCATTTTTGAAAATATTTAGAACTTAATAGCAATAATACTGCACTAGCATATCTACATTGGATCAACCAGAGAATCTTAAATCAAAACAAGTACATGATTCAACAACTTTGCTTGCTTTAATTATATAAGCATTTATTGAGAATCCACTTGGCCATTGAGAACATTAAAAAATTCACATTTTCTTTCCTTTCAAAAGTAGATCATCTAATCATAAACAAAGAATGAAATGTAAACTTAACACAGAGGATAAGTACCACAAAGGGTACGTGAAAGTACTGTCAAATGAGGTTAGACCTTTTCCTACAGAAAACGCAGTCACTGAAGGGGTTAAGGGGAAGTTGAAAGGGGAGAGTTGAGGCTGTGGTTTGGGATGCAGGGTAGATTTAAGGGTGAGAACTAGAATGGATACAAATGACTTAGCAAAGTTCTGAAGTAGCCCTAGTGAGAGGCAATAGACTGGACAAAGCTGTGGTGGGCAGGTGAGATGAGCAAGGGTGTGAGACACGGAAGCACTAACTGGGAAGACTAGTGGTTTCACAGGAAAATAGAGGAGACTGAGGAGGACTCCTAATTCAGGCTTGGGTTCACAGATGGGTGCTACAATGAAGACTAGAAATGTAGAATTAAAGGTTTAAATAAGAAGGAAAGGATAAATCATCAGAACAGAGGTATTTTGCTTCCCCCCCCCCCTTTGGTTTTTTTGACATAGGGTTTTTCAGTATTGTTTTGCAACCAGTTCTGGAACTAGCTCTGTAGACTAGGCTGACCTCAAACTCCCAGAGATCCACCTGCCTCTGCCTCCTGAGTGCTGGGGTTAAAGGTGTGTACCACCAACGTCCAGCTATGTGTTGTTTTTTTTTTTTTTAACTGTATATGTAGTTCAGTTTAGCCTCAAACTCGGGATCTTCTACCACAGTCCCCCAAGTGCCAGACTCCAGGTGTACATTTTGTTTGGTTTCAGTGTGGTTTGTGTAAAGGGGTGTAAGGGGGGAATAAACCACCCTTTTAATAATATATAGTATAAGCATAAAAACATACAGGTATCAACAAGTCTAGGGGTTGTAACTCCACTTCAAAATGCTTGCCTTGCATGAGTGAAGTCCTGGGTACAATACTTTAAAAACTGAGTTTGTGAAACCCTGTCTCAAACAAACAAACAAGCAAACAAACAAAAAACAAAAATAAAAAGTCTAAGCCTTGAGAAGTTATGTATGGAAATTGTTTTTATACTTCTAAATCCTCATACCTCTGGTTCTTGATTTATAAATTTTACATGTATCAGGTGATGCCCCAAAGTAAAGGATGAAAATATAACAACACTTAAAATTCTTCCTTCCTCATTCTTCTTCCTCCCAATGCTCGACAGCTGTTATCAACTTTTCCCTTGGTAGAACTAATGCTTTCAGCTTCAAATAATATACTTAGTTCGAGGCCAGACTGGTCTACAAAGCAAATTCTAGGACAGCCAGGGAAACCCTATCTCAAAAAAACATACATACACATATGTGTGTGTGTGTGTGTGTGTGTGTGTGTGTGTGTGTGCATGTGTATATGTATGTATTATATGTCATATGTTTTATATATTATATTAAATATGAATATATTGTATAAATACTTCTCCACCCTCTTCAGTGGTCCTGACTTCCCACAATTGAAGAAACATGTTAGGTATCCCTGCCTTTTCTTCTACTTCTCCTAAATCTTATTGTCATCTACATTTTTATTCTGGCAACATGGTAAGTTTAACTGGACCCTGTAACAGAAACTAGGTTAGAAAAGAAAACCAGTACATAGTAGTATTATGGTAGTCAAAGGTCAGGATTCAAAACTATATATATATATTCTGCACTACTGGCTGGGAAGGGGAGGAAAGCAAGGGGTTCAGAACATCACTGGAAACAAGAGTTAACTAGAAAGTGAAGTATTACTAGGCAACAGCTACAGTTTATGACAATTTACTATATGTTTTACAGCATGCTATAAAGAACTAAAAAGAAGGTTGGGAAGCTTCAAATACAATGAAATGATGCATACTTAAGGAGCTGGAAATGCTAATTAGCCTGACAAAAGGTGTACTAAATTATACTTTATCCCATAAACACGAGCAATTATTGTATATCAATTAAAAATTACTCTAACCCAGTAGTTCTCAACCTGTGAGTCACAACCCCTTTCACAGGGGTCACCTAAGACCATCTTGCATATCAGATATTTACATTATGATTCATAACAGTAGCAAAACTGTTGTTATGAAGTAGCAATGAAAATAATGTTATGGTTAGGGTCACCACAATGTGAGGAACTGTACTGAAGGGTGGCAGCATTAGGAAGTCAGTGTGGTAGCTTACCCTTGTAATGCCAGCACAGAAGAGGCTGCAGCAGAAAGGACTGCCACAAGGTCAAGTCCAGTCAGACTAGAGAATGAGTCCCTGTCTCCAGCAACAATGAAAAACTTACTCTAAAAAACTACACCACAACCTACACCCACAAAAGAACAAATGCTCACAGGATACTTACTCAGATATCAGCCAGTATTTTTTACAATGTCTTCTCCACAGTGGATCATGAGTTGATAGCTGGCTAAGTCTTCGACTGACATAGCAACAACTGGCAGTAACCAGATTCAATTAGTATAAAAAGGGAAAAATTAAAAAACATTAAAATAGTCATTGTTAAATTCTGAGTCCCTTTATTTTTCTTATTTCTACTTATTACCTATGCTGCAATGCAGTATCTTTTAAAATCTATTTAATGTGTGAGTTAGTATAATTGCCCTGTGAGTGAGTAATAAGGAGAAAGGAACATATTATCTCATATTCACACAAAGTTCACAATAGATTAATCCAGTTTAGCCCAACACAGTCAAGCAAATATGCACCAAAACCGTTAGGGCCTGGCAACAAACAGGTTAGACACTTGCCAAAGCTGGACTGTACTGGGTGAGAAAGAAGCAGCAGTATGCTGGATGAGTCTGTATACAAAAATAGTATTCAACTCCACTTATTTCCACAAGCATTTATGGAGGAGTCATGTCACTTCAGCTTAAAATTCTGATTGCTACTAAAGCTCTGAACTAAAACTCCATTCTTACCAGAGGCTACATGATCTCACCAGCCAGCCTTCATGCGGCTTGCCTGTTACTCATTACTACCTTTAGCAAAAACAGCTTTCTAGTTTTTCTAGTTGAACAGGCCACACTATTGTTAACAGACCCATGAGCCTCTCAACACTGTTCCCTTCGCTAGGGCAGAACTACACTCTGCCACTCCTGTGTCTCCCACTGAGTTAGTCATCTCATCCTACACATCCCCAACAGTGCCACATATGTATCCCTTCCTAAATTTGGCCTCTTGCAATTATGCACTTGTTTGGCTTTCCATCCTTTCTATAGAATTTAAGTTACATAAAAAAGAGCATCTCTCTCTAATTCACTGTTGTATGCCTACATTTAACTGACACATGGCAGACGCTCCAAAAAAAAAAAAAACTGAACAAATGAATACAAAAATAAACAATCCTTACACTCTGACAATGCACACACGTATGACAAACACACGTAGTTGAAGGAAGATGGTGGGAGAGGGAAGTTGCCAAGTTGAGGAGAATTAAGTATTTCAGACAATGTGCAAGTGTGTGGTATGCTGCCTGATGTCTACTCTAGTTAGAATAGACTGTGCAAATATGATAGCAGAGGAAGGCCTGAAAGGTCTTAGATGATAAGCTAGATGATAAGGGCCTCAAATACTGCAGAAGTTCAGGGTGCAGTATGTAAACAGGGCTATTACTGGCTTTTAAGAAGAGTGGCAGCCAGATTCGTCTTCGAAAGATAACTCTGGCAGCAATCAAAGATAGAAAGCTGTCAAGATAAGTTATAACAAGAGAGTATTTCAGATGAAATCAATTTGAGCTGAACAGCTTTCCTTCAGAAAAAAAAAAAAAAAAACTTTCTCTGCTTTAGTACAGGCTGAGTAGGGGAAAATGTGCTTTCTGGAAAAACAAAAGTGTTAAGCAGGTACGAGAGGAGGGAGGCCACAACAGAAAACCCAGGAAATAACTCTGCCACCACTTAGCTAGGCCAACCAACAGCTACCTGTAACTCCAAGAAATCCATACCTCTAAAAGGCCTCTAAAAAACGGAGGGCACGATCAGCAAACTGTGCCAGGATCCAGTAACCAATCAAAAATCAAAACTGTCTTCACCATATGATTTTGTCTCCCCTATAAACATACACGGAAGCACAAGAACGCCTGGCCATGCTGTCAAGGGTGTAAACAATCCTAACACGGGGGATGGGGCTGTCGCGGAGAAGCGCCATTTCTTTCTCTGACCTATACAGTCCTGTTCTCTGAAAGCATTGGGCTTTTGACCACCCTTACTGGCATGCTCCGGATTTGTTTGTTTATTTATTTTCTTGGAGCAAACCTTGGTAATTCAGAAAACCCTGAGGTAACTGCAGTCACCTGTAAGGCCTTACCGGAAGTCGGTGACCAGAACACAAAATCCAACCACCCACCGTAAGAAGGAAAACTGACAGCCAAAAAAAAAGTCACAAACACAGGGGAAAGGGCACGCTGCCTGCCGGTGACCAAGGTGGCATCGGAGGGAGTCAGAAGGTCGCAGCCTTCTCGCGCGCGTCCTACCTGCCCACGCGGGCTCTGGTCACCCTGGACCCCAGGCCCGACAGGGATGCGCGTGGGCCGGGACAGCGGCCTTTCCCCGGCGCTAGAGCAGGCCCCAAAGGGCCAGCGAGCGTCCGCGACGTGCGGCACCGGGGAGCCACCTCTGTCCTGGGCAAATCGGCCTAGCCAAGGCTTGAGGGGAGGACGCGAGGTCCCCCGGGACCTGGGCAGGAGTAAGGCCTGGATGCCCTGGCCCCTCCTCCGCGTCTCCTTCAGCCCCCACTGCGGCTCTGCAAGATAACGGCTGCCCTGCAGTCACCCTCGGGTGGGTGCGGAGGAAGCCCGCGTCCACTCAACGACCGCGGGGCCTCCTTCCCTGCTTCCTCCGCGGCTTCCCTCCGCGTTCCCACCCCGGCCATGAGCACCGTCCCATTACCTGATCAGGTCCCTGTAGTCCACGAAGGATAGGATGAGCAGAAGGGGGTCGGTGGGCAGCGACTCCAGGGTCAGCGGCACCGTCTCGGCCTCCACGGCAGCCATCTTGCCCGGCCCGCTGCAGCCTGGCACCACCCCGGCCCCGCCCCCGCCGCCGAACCGCTCCGCGGCCGCTCGCACAGGTTAGTTATGTAACTGTCACCCGGCCCCGCCCCCGGGTGCGGGGCGCCCCGCCCACCCCGCGGCCCGCCCCGCCGGCCGCTGCTGTCTGGCGCTGTGTCTGGTCCTCTGTGGTTGAGTGTTTGCCTTCACATCCCTAAGCTTAGTCAGAACGCTCGCTGCCAGTCTGTTCCTCTCTCTCTACCTGCCATCTTAAATGTGGTATCCCCAAAGCCTCTCCCTAAACCTTCCACTAATCATCATGGGCCTTTGGGTCCCAAACCCATTGCTTCGTTTCCAGTCCATGACCCTCACTGCCCGCCTCAGATTCCCCTGGGCCCCACCCTCACCCGCACTCAGCCTTGCTGTACTCTGAGCTTTTTCTACTTAATACAGAAGGAATGGCAGGGGGGGAAAGGCACTTCAATTTCGAAATAATCGGGAGGTTGTAATTCTACCCCTGCCCACAAAACAAAATGTTCCTAAAAATGAAAATAATCTCTGGGTAAATTCCACATCTAGTTACCCAACAAGTGTTAATTTCCAGCCTACCCACATCCAGGAGAAAGTTTCTTCCAAATACTTAGTCTAAGAAATAATCAAATATGAATCTTTTCCATCAAGTACTACAAAGCTCGTGTTTAGGACAAGAAATATAATTATTTTTTTATCTCCCTACCTTATAAGACTTTTATACAAATGTTTTAATCCCCTCCCTTAGTAAAAAACCTTCCCGTAATTTGAGTCAGGTAACTCACACTTCTAATACCAGCACTACAGGAGACAAAGGCAGGTAGATTTCTGTGAGTTGGAAGTTTGAGGCCAGACTGGTCTACAGAGTGAGTTTCAGGACAGCTAGGGTCACACAGAGAAACCTTGTCTAAGAAAACAAAAAGCAAAACAAAACATTTTCCAGTAATGTAATGGCCTGCAGTAGTGATGCCTTTCCTCCTCCTCTTTGTTTCCTGTGGACCATTTTTTTTTTTTTCTAGACTAGCCATTTGAATTAAGACTGTGAGGTTGGATCCCCATCAATGGGGAATGAAACGATCACTACCTGAATTAGAATAAAAACTAGATGCACTGGACTCTTGGTCAAGAGTCCAGACACTTTAGTTGGAGTGGTGGGCTCTGTCTTTGAGACCTCAAACATTTCTAACATTAGGACAGAGGACATGATCTTTCCTGCCCCTCTGATGAGTTTCTATCAGCTCCTTTCATTTAACTTGGTTGGCATGGCAAATTTTCAGCCTACGAGTAAAATGTATGGAAATCGAATTTTTAAATTTGTAACTTGTAAGTCCAGATTTTGTACTGCAAGTGTGCGGGGCTGAGCTGAATGAGACACTGTAGCATGGGAAGATGCAATTCTTCAGCTTTGTAAAGCTGATATCAAGGTGGGCATGGGAGAAGTGTGATGGATAGGATGGTGGACCGAGGAGTGAATTCTGTTGGTTTCAAGGGGGCTGTGAGTAGAGAGGTTTGGGAATCCAAAAGACCTGGACTTCTGCACACACCAGTCACTCCCTTCACTAGGAGTGAGAGATGGTGCATTAGTTACCTGTATCTAAGTTCTGTAAATTGGTCCTCATCTCCAAAAACCACCCCTCCTATCATGGGTTAAAGATTATAACTTTTGTTAATAAACGTTAATTTCTCAAGCTAGTAAGTGTAACAGATGCTACATTTCCTTGGTGACTATAAATATCCTATAGAAAGTTTCCTTTTTAAAAATCACATTTCTGTATGTACGTACATAAGTATGTATGTGTTTTTGAGTGTGGGAAGCTATGTGTGTGAGCACACCATGGAGGTCAGAGTCCATTCTCTCCTTCCACCAATTACTTCTGGGGTTGTCAGGCTTGGTAGCAAGTGCCTTTACTCCCTAACATCACCCCTGGAGAAAGTTTCTCCTAAGTACTTGGAAAAGTGGACACATCACCCTCAGAAGTACATTTTCTCAATTCACGATGTCATTAATGATTTTGTACCTCCTCCCTCTGCCCCCAAAAGCAAAATATTCACTGACTATATCTCCATATGTTCCCATTTCTTTATGTACAAATTATCTGAATGCTTATTGCCTTGGATTCCCTAGAACTGTAAACTCTGGACCTAGAGAGATTTCTCAGTGGTTAAGGGTGTTCGTTGTTTTTGCAGAGGACTTGGGTTAAGTTTCCAGCACTCACCTGATGACTTACAACCAACTGTAATTCTAGTTCAAAAGATTAATGCCTCTTCTCAACTCCATGGGCTCTCGCATTCATGTGGTAAATTCTATGCCTTATCCAACCTTGTAACTCAGGGCACTGATATATCATTCAACAAATGAAAATTTAAATTCAGACTGATTGAAGGCAATACAGTCATTTCCTCTTCCTTCTCTTTTTTCTTTTCTTTAAGACAGGGCTCCCTATGTAGCCCAGGCTGGCCTCAAGCTCATCTTCATCTTCCTGTCTCAGCCTCCTGAGTGCTGAAAGTATTAAATTCAAACCCTGTGCCTGGCCCAAAAGAGTCACTTCTAGTTACACAGGAACTATGCCCATTTCGATAGGTAAATGCTTATAACATTATTCCTAATTTGGGGTTGTATCTATTTCTCAGTTGGGCTGATTGTTTTTAAGTACAATAGCTGGTGGGGGTTTCAGATGCACTACATCTGCTCCTATTGTCCTTCTACACCTGGACTTAGTCTAAGCTATAATCAAGTGCAAAAGATCAAACCTGTGAAGTTATCCTACCACCAGAATCAGGACTGAGAGAGGGCACTTTTTTTTGGAGCACAGAATTTAAAAGGGATACCTGTTTCATAGCTCGTTTCTCCAGTTGTGACATTCCCTACTGGATAGCGGAAGAAAACTGGCTAGACTAAGAAAGTAAAGGATACGCAAAGCCCAGGAAATCCCTGAAGTCTAAACCAGATTTATAGAGCCACTTCCCAAGACTATATAGGCTAGCTCTGGGGAGAGAAGAGACTGTCCAAACTGCTGAGCTGTCTGATAATAGTCCTGGGTGCTCCAAGGGATACAGCTTTCACAAGTTATCATCCAGCCTAGGGTGGGCTCTTTTGGTGATGCAGCTGCCTTCTTCCATGCTTCTGGAAATAATCCTTCATTTATACTCCTTAAGTAAAACCAAAGAACTCACTGGCTCACTAACCTATATTTGGATAGAACACTTTCTTTTGTCTGTGCCCCATCTGAGGAAAAAGTCTGAATAACTGAGAGAAGTAATACTTCAGTGCAATATATTTAGAAATGAAAATGAATGCCAAAAGTCTATACTGAAGTAAATGCCAAAATCTTAAGTGAAAACAGGAATACACAATGCCATATTAAAGCATCAGACAGAAAAGAGTAAGATGTACCCTTGAATACTTGTTTTTGTTTACTTTTAAATGATTCGTTTCTCCTGTCCAAAAAGTCAAAGCAGGTAGTCTGATGAAGGACTTGCTTTTCCCAGATACGTAGGCTCAGAAGTCCTAACATGGTCTCTCTCTCTCTCTCTCTCTCTCTCTCTCTCTCTCTCTCTCTCTCTCTCTCTCTCTCTCTGGTGCCATCTTCTGTCATGTCTCATGGAAGATGCCATGGGATTGCCAGCCCCTCCCACCAGGCCCAGGCTCTGCTTTTCTATCCAACATAATATGGGGGAAGTAATGATTAGGGGAACAATGTCCTTTTAATTTGGGGAGCCATCCTGTCCCAGGTTGTATGCTTCTCCACTACCCCTAATAATGGCTGAACAAAGGACAAGAGAGCACTCAGGACTGACTTCTCTGGATCTAGTATAAAGGTGAGAGGGGGTGCATTGTAGCCTGTGCACCTGAGTGGGGATAACTGTCCTCCAAGTTGGCTATTTAGGAAACTGTACTCTGAAGGGCACAGAAGAATGCCAGTATCTTCTTGCCATTACAAGCTGCTAAAAAGGGGGCCAGATGCAGAATGCAAGTTTCTCCTTTTCTCTGTAATAGTCTACCCTCAATGCTTTTGAAATAATATATGTTCCCTTTAGGACTCCTCTGATACCTTGTATATGACAACCAAGCCACAGCAGACAACATCCCATGTATTGCTGATCCCCCTTAGTGTCACTGACTTCAAGGTTCCTATTGACTGTTGCAGTAAGTCCCTCAGGCATCAATCCATAATTCCTGTCTCACTGTGGACATGCATCTTAGCCCTGAAGACTAGGAAGAACTGACATGAACACTTCCCTGGGTCTGCTCTTTAGAATGTGGAAATGTCACTCTGTAACATTTGGTTGGGGACAGACAAATCTAAATTGCCCTAGAGAGAACTCTAGGCTGTGTCAGGTTGACAATTACAGCTAACTAGAACACTGAACAAAGTATTACATTTTAAATAAAAAGAAGATCACACAGTTTCATACTAAAGTTTGAGGCAAAAAGAGGGAACTGTACCTCTAAACACATACTTTTAGTTATTTTTATTTGATTGATTTTTCCACTCCCTACAAGACCTAGAAGGACTTGCTTGGATATGAGGCTGGCAATGACTAGATGCCAAATTCTAGACTCTAGAGCAGTGGTTCTCAACTTTTTAAATGCTACGACCATTAATACAGTTCCTTGTGTTGTGGTGTACCCCAACCATAAAAATTATTTACTTGCTATCTTATAACTGTAACTTTGCTACTGTTATGAATCATTCATATATATATATATATATATATATATATCAAGCTCGACTCTACCTCCTGAGAGCTGGGATTAAAGGCATGCGCCACCAACACCCGGGTATCATTTAAATATCTGATATTCAGGATGTCTGATATGTGACCACTGTGAAAGGGTTGTTCAATCCCAAGGAGTCACGCACAACCCATAGGTTGAGAACCACTGCTCTAGACAGAGTGGCTCCTTCTAAAATGATAGCCTACCAGTGTCCTCTCCCATATGTAAAATACCATCTTTCAGGGACCATGAGCACTTCCTGGCATGTATTATATCGTACTCTTTCCAACCGAGGGGCACCTTTCAGTGGAAGAAGAA